TGGCAATGAGCTTCTTAATGTCCTACTTATCTGTAAGTTGTAGTTCACAACAAAAGTCTCATACTCTTTAGACAAAGAAGCAAAAATCAAATGAATTAGGAATTCATCCTCGAGCCTCAAGTCCATTGGCTTGAGCTTAGACGTCGTGTTGCTCATCTTCAATATGTGAACGTAGTGGGAACGGTGGCGCCGTAGATCCGGTGACGGAGAGTAGTGGCAGCGCAGTCTGAGAGCGGTGGTGAAGACGGTGGCGGCGCTTCCCACCGCTGCTGCGCTCCCTTAGATCAGATTAGATCTAGATTATCGGTGGAGTACTATAGCTACGATGAACCTCGTACAGCGAGCCATCTACCCTCGTCTTTTTATATAGCGCAGTGGGATGGGTCCGTTGGGCGCGCGCGAGGTCGACCAACTCGTCGTCGTTGTTGGTGGTGACAGGATGGGGCGGGGCTCCACGGTTGCTCTCGCGGCGGCGGCGGCGTTGCTGGTGTCGCTGCCCATGCTACTGGTATCGCTGCCGATCCTGCTAGTATCGCTGCGGGCCGTGAACAAATACGAGCAGGAGACCCGCCGGATGTTCGTGGAGTGGAAGGCCAAGTACAGGCAGACCTATAGATACGCCGGCGAAGAGGAGTGCCGGTACGCGGTGTTCAAGGAGAGCCGCCGCCGCGTCGCCCGGGGTGACCTCTGGCCTCAACGGTCTCAGCGCCACCGCCATTGAGGAGATCTACTGCGGGCACGGGGTCCGGATGGGGGAGAGACCGTTCGAGCACGAGACCCGCCGGATGTTCGTGGGGTGGAAGGCCAAGTACGGCAAGACCTACAGAGACGTCGGTGAGGAGGAGTGCCGGCCTCAACCAATTCGGCAACCTCACCAATGAGGAGGTCCGCGAACGGTGCTACCCGGAGATGGAGGACTGAGAGCTGAGCGCCAGGTGCCAAGCCGCCGCCCCCGACCCGGACCTCGTCCATGGGAGGCTGATCCGGTACCAGGTAATCATCTTGCTAGCTGTTTTTAGTTTCTTTATTATTATCGTTGTTGTTTCTTTACATGTGGTTGATTACCATTTGCATCAAATCAAATGGGGACTATGGATTTTGAGGTAGCCAGTGTTGATTTTGTTGCCTTAACGAATCTAAGTGCAATTTTAGCTCTGTCTAGGAATGTAAATTTCTCGTGCTCATTGGTTATGTTCAAATCATTATGATTTGTCTATAGAAATATAATTAGCAGTAGGTGAATTGAATCAGGGAGTGAAACCCAACATTAGAAACATAAATAAATGTACCAAATGCAGCAAAGCTCATGATTAAACTATTTGATAAACTCACACGGAACATCAGTACAATGCAGTAGTTCCGCTAGTTACGTGAAAATTTGGAACAACAATGATGTCAATCAGCCTGTTCGCTTGTTGGTTTCAGCCAGGGCTTATCAGCTAGCCAACAGTGTTTTCCTCTCACAACAAACCAGCACCAGCTGGGCTTATCAGCCCAGAAACCAACCATGTAAGGATGTCCTGATCTTACTGTGTACTTTCATTCATGACAGGGTATTCTTTAATTTTAATTTTCCAAAAAGTAAAATATTAAAATAAGAAGAAGATTAAGACATGACCAATTCTATATGCTCTTCATCTATAGCATCAAAATGCTTGGTGAACTTCAAAATCACAAAGCTAGTGCTCCGAAGAAAAAACATAATATTGTTGAGAGATAAGCTCCAAATCTGATGAAGAGGAACAGACTTTGAATTCCAATGAACAACCATCGTCCATGGGTGTTCATTGGAAGCAACCTTGCCCTCCCATCTTGATGAAATCAACCACTTGCTTATCAGCCAAATACCAATCAACCGATAAGGTCCCAGCCTAATCCTGGCCAGATGGATAACTGAAGCATGAAGCCTCCAATGGCAATGAGGCTAGCCTGACAGAGTGATAGATAACTATAGACATGCAGAAAACAATCCAATCCAACAGGGAGATGGACTACTGCACCCAAATAGAAGAAATCCACTGACAATTGATGATACTATAGTTGCATCGGTCACCGAATTGCGAACTGGTGGCATAGTGTGCATGTGAATTGCGGCTCTTTGAGCTGATCAGTGGTTAAGATTTCTGACACGAGTGCAAATCAAATCCATCTCTGATAGGCACTAATAGAAGAATTATAGAAAGATGCACTGTATTTAGGATGCACCGGTAATTGTAACGTATGTTTTTTTTTTTTTTAGCAACATCAATTAGTTTTCCTCCATATCTCATTCAAGATTATGGTGTACCAGTTTGTAATGGCTTCGTATGTGCAAAGAACTCGTGAGATTTTGAGTAATGCCTTGGTCGGTAGACAAGGCCGGAACAATATTCTAGAGCTAACTACAAGTATGTGAAGATTTTTGTTAACTTCTCTTTGGATATGATTGATTAACCTAGCAGTTCAATTTGTATTACTACTACTACTATATGGTAACAGGGAATTCCTACATGGTTTTACCCAAAGTTGTTATATAATTGTGTGATTCTATTACCGACTGGAGTACACTGTATGGAAGAGAATCAAGGGTTTGGTTTTATGATCAATGAGTGAGCGTTATAGAAAAACATATTCGTTTGATCAAACATGTACACTAAGGTTTCTCGGCATTTGGACTGAGATAAGCTTAGCTGAAGAGGGGGGAAAAATATAGTGTGCTGATGGTTGATAAGCTGGTGGATTGGATCCATAAGTCGTTTTTCTCTAATGGATGATCTCACCATGCATCTGCTGTCACTTGACATGATGCTAAGCTAAATAGCCTCTTGTTCTTGGAAACATCTTAAATCTGAATCTCGTGTGGATGTTTCTTAATCCTATTCCTATTGGTACCAGTGCCTACTCATATATTCTCATTCGTTACTTTTTACTTTTTGATTTATATAGGTTTGCCGGTGCATTGCTACGGAACTGAAAGAAACAGAGTCTGGAGGTAGCGCCATTCCTGGAGATGAAGCACACATGTTACAAATGGAATAGATTTTAGCTGTTAAACATGCATGTGAGTACAAAATTTGATTCCTGAGGTCAGGAGGTTTTCCTTACCAAATACGTACAAATTTTTAGCTGTAAGTTCAGTATCAGTGACCAAATCCTTGGGTTTCACTCTTTCAAACTTTTGCGCATTAACTAAAATGCGCTTTTCTGATTATCTAATTGAAAGGTTTCCGGTTGTTTCCATCTATGTGCCGTTAGCTGTTAAATACTCCTATGTGATTAGAGAATTCCGAGTCCAATTTTTATCTGAAAGTTCAACATTAGCACCGTATTCCTTTGGTTTCACTCCTCCAGAATTTGGCTTATTATATCATTTTGATTGACAAGATACTCGCCCGTCCCGAAATAATAAACCTCAGATCTTCAGATTCATGCTTTTTCTTGATGACTTTAGGCTTCAGAAAAGTGCAGGTTTAAGCGATAACAGTTTTTCAACCAGGAAAATATAGCTTGCTTTTGCTTATGGCCATGGAGACGTGGCCTTTATCGGTTCAACCTTCAAAATTAAATCAGATCAGTACATAATGCCAAAACAGTAGTGTAAAACACCACAGCAAGCAACTTTTAATGCTGCAGTAAAATTTGCTCTCCTAAAAAACAGGTTAAAAAGATCCATTACATCCTGTTAGTTTTTTTTTTTTTTGAGGAATCAGGAGGAGCCAGAGGCTCCTACTGTAAATTTATTAATAAAAAAGTTAACAAAAAGGATACAAAGAAAGAGCAAGACAGAACAGGTCCAGTAGGAGTGCTCAGGGAACAGAGAAAGAGAGGAAGAAAATTACAAGGAGTTGATCCATGATTCTAAAACAGGGGTGATCCTAGCTTTTGTCCTGTGCAATAGCAGAAGTGATTCCACCGTGATAAGCCTTTTGCAGTCCGCAACCGAGGGGTTTTTTGTTTCTGAAAAATAACATCATTTCTCATCATCCAAATGGCCCAGCAGATCAAAATCCATCCTGTTAGGTAGCCAAGGAGGTGAGAGTGGGATATGGAAGATGAAAGAAATGGCTCTTACTGAATATTTGTGCGATGATCTTCAGGCCTCTGAATATTCCCTTCATGCGCCATTGGCGAGGCCTTTGGCCTTCCCTCTGAAAACCACAGGCAATGAATTGGTACCAACTACGAACAGGCAGGACTAGCATGAATCGGTAGATGAATTATGAATACTGATTACGATTCAGAGCAGGCAAAAGTAGCTGTACCCTTCACAGCAATGTATGTATATATCTAAGCAGCAAGCTTCCTTTCCTTGGGTACCAATGCAAGAGGCGGAGAAGGAGCTGGAATGCTGGATATACAGACATCCTGGTTCAGAAATGGAGCCAGCGGCGAAGGGAAAGGTGACGATCGCGAATACAAATGACAAGGAAGGAGATCTGAACCTGTCAGATAACCCAGGCTCGGTTCATGCTCCACTCTTTTCTGATCGGCCTAGACTTAGCGAGAATAATGGAGCTCAATTTAGCCGGATTGAGCGCGTCCTCGTACAAGCCAGACGCATGTTCCATTCATGCAGCGGCTGTTAGTTGTTTCCTTCTTTTCGTTGAGTCGTAGTAGTGGCGATCAGCACGCTCCAAGTCGTGGGATGGCACGGCAATGGCGGAGCGTGGAGACCGCAGCGTCATGGCTGTTCGTGACCATTGTTTTCGCTTGTAATCTTGTGTGTTTTAAGTTCATCAAATAGAGTCCAGAAAAGCTGCGTTGGTTAGCGGCACCAAAATCACCAGCGTTCCACTGTGTTCGCGTGCGTTGTCTGAATTTTCAGCTCATCGTCTTCCTCTCCGGAGACGGGCGCCGGCGAGCGAGAGACTGACAACACAGCACAGCTCCCCTTACATAAAGGTGATTTGATTGATCACAAATTAGGTGGGGTTTCCTCTGGCTCTTCCACTCTCTCCGGTCCGTTTAGTGTCGAGGCCGGCCCGCAGCCCACCCTCGTCGTCGTCGTTGGCGGCGACACGATGGGGCGGGGCCCCACGGTTGCTCTCGCAGCGGCGGCGGCGGCGCTGCTTGTGTCGCTGCCGATGCTGACGGTATCGCTGCGGGCCGCGGACCCGTACGAGCAGGAGACCCGCCGGATGTTCGTGGAGTGGAAGGCCAGGGTCAAGGAGACCTATAGATACGTCGGCGAAGAGCCGCCGGGGTGACCTCATCTGGCCTCAACGGTTTCAGCGCCACCACCATTGAGGAGTTCAACAACATGTTCGGGGCCCGGATGGGGGAGAAATCGTATGAGCAGGAGACCCGCCGGATGTTTGTGGGGTGGAAGGCCAAGTACGGCAAGACCTACAGAGACGTCGGTGAGGAGGAGTGCCGGTACGAGTTGTTCAAGGGCAACCGCCGCGTCGTCGTCCGGCTCAACGCCGCCGCCGGGCAAAATGTGTACGGCCTCAACCAATTCGGCGACCTCACCACCGAGGGGGTCCGCGAACGCTGCTACCCGAAGATGGAGGACCGAGAGCTGAGCGCCAGGTGCCAAGCCGACCCGGACTCCGGCCATGGGAGGCTGATTCGGTACAAGGTAACCCATCCATCTTGCTAGCTGTTTTTATTAGTTGATCAAACATGGGGATTATGGATTTTGTTTCCAGCTCCCACATACTAGTCCTCTTATTATTGATTTTGTTTTGGTCAACTGCACTAAATAGCCTCTTGGTCTTGGAAAACATCATAAATCTGAATCTCGTGTGGTCTTGGAAACATACTTTTTACTTGTTTTGTTTATATAGGTTTGCCGGTGCATTGCTACGGAACTGAAAGAAACAGAGTCTGGAGGTAGTGCCATTCCTGGAGATGGTCTGATGGTCCTATTGTTACAGCAGCTAATGCAAATGCATGGGGTCTGATGGTCCTATTTATTTCTAATCATCACGAATTGCAGAAGCAAATGCAAATGTTTGGACGCTGTAGTGGAACAGTGAATTGACAAGATGACTGACACCAACAAGAGGACGCATTATTTTGAGTAGTATCAAGTGGAATAGATTAGTTGTTAAACATGTGAGTACAAAATTTGATTCCTGAGGTCAGGAGGTCTTCCTTACCAAAGTACAGATTTTTAGCTGGGCGTTCAGCGTCAGTGACGACCAATTCCGTGGGTTCCACTCTTTCAAAACTTTTGCGCATTAATTAAAATGCACTTTTTCTAATTCCCGGTTGTTTCCATCAGTAATGTCATTAGCTGTTAAATACTACTCCTATATGATCAGAGAATTTCGTTCTTACGGTCGTGGTCCAAATTTTAGCTGAAAGCTCAACATCAGCAACGTATTCCTTTCGTTTCTCCAGAATTTGGCTTATATTATACCATTTTGATTGACAAGATACTCGCCCCAAAATAAATAAACCTCAGATCATCAGGCTCAAGCTTTTTCTTGATGACTTTAGGCTTCAGAAAAGTGCAGGTTTAAGCGATAACAGTGTTTGGACCAGGAAATCGGGATTGGTTTATGTCTATGGCGACGTGGCCTTTATCGGTTCAACCATCAAAATTAAATCAGATCAGTAGATAATGCCAAAACAGTATAGTGTAAAACGCCACACTAAGCAACTTTTAATGCTGCTGTAAAATTTGCTCTCCCGGACGGGCTAATTTCAGCCCGAAATCTTTACATCCAGTTCGGCTAGGCTTCAATGTATATACTTACTTGGACCTGGCCTGTTGCGGTATTAGGCCCACTCAGAACTCCAAGGACGTCGGTCATGGCCTCATTGCATTGGTGGTGATGGCGTTGTGGTGTGTTTTTGGAACACCACAGGTGATGATTTCACACAAAAATCTTTCTGAGCGGCAGGCATTCTCTGTCGCTAAAAAAAATCCTCTGCTATTTGTGATTTGAAAATCCTGCTTATTTTCGGCTGAATTTCTTCAAAAAATACCCTCTTCATTCTAAATTATAAATTATTTTAATTTTTTATATACATAGTGAACAGGCACATGCAACACGTATGTGCCATACAATTTTATTCATAGTAGAAGGATTGTATACATTCAATTAATATATTATATATTTAATAAGTATTTTTCACAATAAAAATAGTTTTAACTAAACAGCCAGTAAATAGGATTAAGGACAAAACTTTAGCAAGGATTGGACACAAGCACATATTTAATAAGTTTTTCTCACAATAAAAATATTTTTTTAACTAAACAGCCAGTAAACTGGATTAAAGACAACTTTAGCAGGATTGAACAAAAGCTCAAATTGATGGCCAATTGGTGTAGCAAAAATGAAGCGCCTTGACTCTGAAATTCTTTATATCTGAATGTGCTAAATCTTTTGACACTTGTACTGTATACATGAGCAACCATTTCTACAATGAGCCATCCCAACATGGATCCCCAGAACTCCTTCCCAGATCTCTGAATAATGCCTTCCCAGCATGATGTCGGGTATCAATATTTGGGATACCCGGACAAGAGGAGTTAACGGCCATCAGCATTAATCCGCCAAGACAGTTAAGGGCGTCACTACGGCTTCATCCGACCCCAAGGGCACAAGATCCGTGTGGCAGAACCGCCTAATCTAATGCCTCCCAAGAGTGCTCGTCTTCTATTAGACACTAAACACTCAAGGGAGAACATCAAATTACGCAGTTCCGTCAGGCACACCTTAGGGGAGAACCCAAAAATCCATATTTTTCATCAGGATCACAAATGAGAGAATAAAGCTTACATTATTTTTAACTATTTCTTACATCACTTTTAGTACAACATCAGAGTATAATATTTATTGTTATAACAGCGGAATGTAATCATATTATCAGAGTTATGAACAATTTAAGTTACAGCGGAATATAAACATGTTATCAAAATTACAACGAAAATAAATATATATTCATGACATGATAAAGCATTGATATATAAACTATAACAACAGATTATAAAACTTTTATTTAGAAAACATTCAGTGAGAGTTATAAATAAAAACTATGATCGTAGCGTAAAGGAAATCCTCTCTAAGCCCACCAGGAGGAACCCACACACAAGAGTCAGCTCTAGCATCCATTTGTCACCTTCAACAGGGGGAAATAAAACCCTGAGTACTCAATTGTACTCAGCAAGACTTATCCGACAGGAGGAAAGAAAAGACTCCAAGGATATGCAAGGCTATCTGGCTTGTGGGTTTATTGCATCTGCAGGAAGCATTACTAAGCGTGCGTCCTTATATTTGATTTTTATTAATAGCCGCATTAGTTCATTAACCAACAATTCTATGTAAGCACATGTGCTACTTTCAAGCAGGTGGTAAGCAATCAAATTTTCTTTTTTCATCTTCCAGTTCTTACTACGGTGCTAGATCGCAGACAAGCCGTACTGGATCGCCCGTCGATTCGTGAATCAATGCCCCCAGCTGGGTACCTCGAAAACACACGCTCCGCTTATACCCAAGGCATAAGTAGGACCAACCCATCACCCTCCTATCCTGGATGTCTAGGTCCTCGTCCAAACTAGGACTCCAAGCCCCCGCCCCTGAGTCCTGGACTCAGTGCGGTGCAAGGACCTCCTAACCCAAAAACCGCCCTGACAGTCAGTCTGGAAAGAGCCGAATCCACAACAAGAGAGCAACAAGTCTTCTAAGCGCCCATATCCAAGTATGTGCTCGGGATAATAAGTCTGTGACTTGCCTAGAGCCTTATACAACGATCGGTCCTTAACCGACACAGACTAGGAAAACAGTGTAATCAAGCTATGCCCCACGTCCACGGCGACACAACCTCTTACACCCACCAATACCCAAACCATATCCCTGCGCGGTCACCATTTTTCCTTTCCACCATTTATATTGTCCAAGTGAAATAATACAGTAATATATTTCCTATATCTCGCGAGTGACAGGCAATCATTCGACTTCTACTAGAGTCCTGTAGCATAGCAATCTACACGATCCTGTCATACTAGTAAGACTCATAGGATAAAGATATATATATATGCAAGTGGGTTTCATTCAACTCCTTAAAACTTAATGCACAAATATAATTTAAAGTACAGAATAATAGAGGTTATGCACCAGGACTTTTCTGGGTAAGATATATATTAAAAACTTAGTATCTGCATCTTCAGATCATCCACCGTCAACTGAATAGAAAACCCATTGCATCATCTCTTGGAGAGAATATCATTACACCATCTTTGGATTTCCAATCATCCCGTTGATCCATCATCGTACCTATATGATATGCATTGATGCAAATGCATAGATGTAAATAATCAACGACAGCCAGAATGCTTAGAAGCACGATCACGCCTCACCAGCTAACGAGCTAGTTCTAACGACGACCGTACTTAGGCTACATATCCATGTTGTCGAATAAGACATTTTCCAACAATCGTTTTAGTTATGCAATCCCAAGTTGTTTCTTTATTCTGTTCTATCGATTTAATCTTTATCCAAAATAGGGTGTCATCATCTACCTAGTGAACTAATTATTATGGAGCTACAAAAATTACAGTGAGAAGCTAATATTGCTAAGAACCTATCATAAAAATTTTAGATCCAACACTATTACCAATTTATTACAACAATTTCTACACGTTTATATTTTTATAATATTAAATATCTCAATTAATTATATAGCATCCAAGAATATTATCAAACTATGTGAACTAGCAGATAGATCATGATTTTAGGAACTCCATAAAACTGGTTTCACAATTTTTAGACCACTACACAAATTGCTACTGATTTACAAGTTTGCTTCAGCATTAAATTAGAAAATACCTCAAAATGAAAAGGGGCCGGCGGCAGCTAAATTGGCCCAGCAGCCCGCTCAGCCAGGTCCAGCGGCAAGACAGCCTAGGCGGGCTCGGCGCGCGCGCGACGTGAGCGGCCCAAGCGCGGGCGGCACCCGGTCGGCCCAGCACGCGGACGACGGCGACCGGCTCAGCAAGGCGCGTGGCGACGACGCGGGTGGCCCAGCAGGCGGGGTGCACGCGCAAGCGGCCCAGGAAGGTGAGCGCGGACGCGAGCGGCTCAGCAGGCGGGGCACGGACGCACGGGCGGCCCAGTGCAGCGGCGGCAGGCCGGTAGCTGGCGTGGTCGGGCCAGGTGCGCAGGCCGCGGCCCAACAGGCCGCACATGGTGTGGGTATTTCTAGTGTATTCAGGAATTTATTTTCCTATAAGAAAACGGTCCTATAATGGTTGTGACGCAAGGATGATGTCAACAAGCTAGAAGGAGCAAAGGCATGCACAGCCGACTACAAGCTTGCTCTGCTTGCTTGCGCGAGCGTGATGCGGTGGTGGTCGCCGACGAACAGAGCATGCCGGTGTGCTGCTCGCGGCGCTGCTGTTGGCTCGGCGCAGAAGGGGCGTGAGGATGCAGATGAGTAGCGCGCTTGAGGACTGCGGTCCCGGACGGGGAAGGAAAGGCGGCACCGGCGGGCGCACTGTGGTGTGTGACCACGGCGGGGCACAGCGACGTCGGCGCAAAGGAGGCTCGAGGCGAGTGGAGCTGCGCACGACCATCCTCCGGGTGATGGCGGACCTCCTCGGTGACCCGGCGGTAGGGGACGCACTGGCACCACAGCTACGCATGGCTTGAGGCAAATGGCCGCGGCGGCGAAGCCGTACCGGCACGGATGGGGAATAACAAAGCGCGAGGCCATGGTGGGCGCGATAGGGCAGCGCGGGACCTGGTGCGCTTGCGTGGGAGGAAGAAGGAGGGGCAGCGCTGAGGAAGCAGCCGGTCCGATGCGGGGTGGTGCGCGGCCACGACCGGGCACGGGAGGGCTCGCAAGGAGGAAAAAGAATGGCGCCGGTGCAGGTCGCAGTCGAAGGCAAGGAAGAACGGGCATATTGCAGCTGCGATGGCTCGACTGCTGGTACTATAAAAATGCGCTGGCT